TATCTATATGCGAATGAATTGACAATAGCAACTTGAAAGATTGGATAGGAAATTTAGGGTACCGTGATTTTATATTAATGTCGGAGGAACAACTCAGAAAACAGAGGGTGCACAACTTGAAGAATATAATGACTGTCACTGAATTGCACATGTAGAAAATGATGAATGTGTGTATTTTCTGTTGTATATATTCTGAACAACAACAACAACAACAACAACTAAACTGCTTTAAAAAATAACCCCAACCAGTTGAATCTTGACATTAACTTTTGTGGCATTTTAACTTACCTATTTCACTTCCCTCTTTCAAGATCCTCAGTAGCCTTGAAATTATGGATCAAATTGTGCCCCTCCAAAATATATCTTAAGATTTGAGCATGTTTTGATTTAATTATGAGATTAAATGCAACTGGTCTGGTAATGTATTTGTCAGAATTGACTTGATAGCAACCGGTGATGGGAAATACAGGTGGAAATGAAATTCATAAGTTAAATATAGAGGTTAGACTTTGGGACAGAGATCCTGACTAGAAAGAGGTGTCACGTGACTACAAGGGCGTGTTGTGTCATGTTCAGAACCAAGGTTGCAGCGAAATCCAGCGATGTTAATATGGGCGAACCCTGACAGAAACACCTTGAATTCATTATGGGGTTGAGAGGCATAGTTTAAGAAGGTCTCATGTAGTGGACATACCTTCTGTAATGCAATCTGATGTCACGGCATATCTTTCAGTCAGCGGGGGGCTTACCAGCATCAGGTGGATGCTAAACCTAACTAACCATGCTTTATTTGAGTTGGTTTTTAAGGAACCACCTCTTTACCTGGGATTGCCTCTTCTATAACAGTTATGAGAGAGCATAACATGGAGACACAAAGGACAACAGATGTTTCCAGAGTCAGGAGCTCCTTCGTTGGAACTCACCTGAATGCCGTAACTTGACAGCTGGAAAAATAACTCTTGATGCTGCTGTTTCGGAAGAGCTGGTTTAGCTGGAAGACAGGACAACATGTTCTATGTCCAAATTCCAAGCCCATTGACCTCAACCACTTTTCAGCCACTAAGTCTGCTTCATCATATGCCTTTTTCTTTTCATCACAAACACTAGCCCAGCTGCTCATGTGCTAAAGACATCCCATCACAGGGTATGACTTAGTTGTGTGCCCTTGGGTCAACCATGGAACCTCACTGCACTGGTTTCTTCACCTGTGAAACAGAACTACCCA